ATAGCTGGGTGAGTTGAACGAACGTGAAGTTAGGTTTTGCATTCGAGTGCGAAGGAGGGTTCGCAAGCTAGTTCGCTAACGTGTCGGTTCGGTCGAAGCAAACTATAAATGCGTGTTTTCACCCTTGAAGTTGTTAAAAATTTTCGTAGTATTGCTTACGCATTTAAACAAAAGGACTCCTGTTGAAGTTCTGTACAATGAATGATTTTCGTGATGCTAACTGTAGGACCTTACAAGGGACGGACGCAGTGCAGTACATGGATTTGTCATATATACGGTGAGATATTTTTCATATCTTAGTTAGGTTTCAAGTCACTTCAAACGTGACCTCGTTTATGTATGCTTTGTACGTTGTGTGTGACTGTGGTACCACCAGAGGCGCGTGGTTTTAGAGTAAGAAAGGCAATGAGCCTGAAATTTAGACAAGAGGCAAATTTGATATAAATATTTTATAAGTGTGATTACGTGTATAAGTAAAAATAAACATCCAGTTGGTGTAACATGTGTACAATGCCATTCGAAACCGTAAATGGGTTAGAATTCAGGAAAGGAGATCCAGGTGTTTGCGGACCCTCATCTTTTGTCGTATTTACTATGATTCTTATTCAATTGAACTTTAAATGGGTGAACTAACCTTTAATATGTATCGTTATTCCGAAGTGGAGCCAGCGCCAAACAGCTGATTGCTACACTGACATTTGTTCTGCTAATTCTGCACCCTAACATACTTAGTAACATTCTCTTTGCCATGATATGTACAGTGTGCAACGGATTATAAGCATGGGAGAACGGTTCCATAAAGCCAAGAATTCAGCTGGAACCGTACTTTAACAAAACAATCCTGTCAAGCAGCGATATATAACAAAGAAAAACGAATTGGAATGATTGGTTAACAAGTCAACTGGACTACGGAAGCAGTATCCAAGGCACATGCCCGCGCTTTCCTTGGAATGGTCCAAAGAAGGCATGGAACTGACGAATGATCCAAATCTTCGAGCGATGGAACCGACGATTTAATGTGAGGTGGTAGTAGACCTAACTGGAATGCTGCACATAGCTATCGCGGAAGAAACATCGACATTGGATAGACGCATTTGATCAATTGGATGGGAGGAGGGTCCACTTGTCAGCTTTGAAGAAATACGGCAAGGAATCGATAAGTACTTCTAGCAGTTTTAAATCCAATGACAAGAAATTTTAAGGCAACAGTGACTCGCTCATGGATTAGATAATTAGAGAAAAATTTGCAAGGTAAGAATTACCTCAAGAAAATTAGATTTCTTCGTGAGGTTGAGATCACAATGGGTAAGCGAGAGAGATTATTTAGTGACCCGATGACAGGCAAGACACAGCCCAGAAAAGAATAGACGGCTAAAATTCAAGAAAGCGCCTCGACAGCTGGCAGATAACATTAATTCTTTCTCAACACCAACTATACGTCTCTTCATCGAATTTTTATTTATAAGTACTACTGTTCCAAACAAATTTCGCTGTTTGCTTAAGTCTCAAACCAAATCCGACCAACTCTCTTCTCGCCCACCTGAATTGATTGGACTGATACAACGAGGACTGATAATGAAGAGGCAGCTAATGAAGCGAATGACGTAAATAAAGGCAACAGTGGGCGACGTGAATGATGTGTAAAAAATACAAAGGGCGCCTGGTGGATCATGTTCTAGTAAATGCACTTTGGGAGTTGGAGGACAAAATATCTACTGCACGTCAACTAACTTGACCCGAAAGCCGACGTGATACCATGAACGACAGCCGCAATCCAATTGTGAAAGATGTTCATTCGACTCGAGTTTTGAGCCGCACGGGGTAGAATACGTGGAAAAGGGAGTGTGGGAGGCAGCCAGTGAGGTGTGCTCTACGGTAGATTCGGGAAACCTCAGTCTGTGCATGAGATTTCTCGTGTGGCCATCAACGTTGACCGTAGCTCAGGTGACAATTTCTGATTATGAGTCGCACACGTACATGCCGGGTCGAGTGGTAACAGTGTCAAACAGTTTTTGCAGACCAGACAATATGTGCAGAAAGGGTTTTTTAGAATTTCGGCTTCGTAACAATTGCCGTCGTAAATTGTAACTGGAAAAAAAATTCCACAAGTGCATGTGTTTATGTGAATACCAATACCATGTTATGCGTTTTAATCATAACTATAAAAATGTTCGACTGAATCGTCAAGTGTTTCAAAGAGATTTATACGAGTCAATCAAAGTGGATATAGTAAAAATGTTTCGGGAAGTTACTCCTCATTGGTTATATTGCGAATTCGCATTTGAGATTTGCACCTTGCTCGCCCCTCTCTGGTGGATTAGATAGTCTAGAGTCTAAACTCTATTGTAATTGTGTGTTTTGCACATTGATGATAATGTATGGGGATGAACTTCAATTATATAGGATTATAATCCGATTAGATATTTGCCATTTGTTATTCAGGTTTTATGTCATATATGAGGTGACCTTTTTAGGGCATACTTTGTACGTTGTCGTTGTGTTGCTTCATTCCACTTCAGAGGTACTGCTTGAAAGCGCCTTTCAGCTGCCTTTTTATTTAATTAATCGGCAAAAGTATGTTGATGTTTTATTACTTCGAAATTCGTATAAGAGTCCGACGTTGGTTGAAGACTCGGAATTCAAAGTTCAGTGTGAAAGCTTTATTAGTGATAGAGACGGCTATAATGAACACACGATTCGTGTATCTTGTAGTTATAGCTTAGGTATCAATTATTATTGTGTTCATTTATCTGATTTATTCATACGTTCTTTCAGTATGAACTTTAATTTGCCCGAAGATTTTAATTAATGCCCATGAGACATTGATGTCTATATTTTTATTCATGGAACGGGGCTTGAAAACGTTCACTATAGAATTAGCGTTTTATTATAATGTATGCCCAAATTTCAATTAGAACCTATAAATCATACATTTATGTGTATTGTATGCGATTGATCTTAAAATTTAAAATGTGAATTTGAAAAGAAGGGATACGAGCATGCAGGCATGCAGCCATTATTGCGATCTATTGTCACCATCATTTCTTGTCGCTGTAAAATCGCCTCGCCCACGACGATGCCGCGACATCTGCCGTATAATTAAGCCAGGCTCACGAACTTTGCTCGGTCGAGCTCACGTGAGCAAAAATGGTCTCTAGCGATAAAAGCTACGCTGGCAAAAATGCCTTAACTACAGCCTAGAGACGCGACAGGATCGTCCAACCGTGAGATGAGCAAAGGCTGTCATGATCCAGAGCTTCTTGAATTGAAATCTTTCTGAGGCCACGTCATTCGTCCACAAAATTACGCCCATGAAGTTCTTTGTATATAATTATAGTGTCTTTCTGAAAGCTTCGTTAATGGTTTATTCCGTAATGGGTTACTCCACAGCCCATTAATAATTTGTGAAATCCTGCTTCAATCTCATCAAATATAATAATCAAGATAAACTTACGCTATGTTTAATGTGGAAATCTTGAGTCGTGAGTGGCACGCGCGATTAGTAGCACATCTGGCGCTACAATGCGTTCCCATGACGAGGCTGAACCCCGGCGAAATGTTTCGCGAATCAAGGAACACAGGCCTGTGGATTAGGACCCGATAATGGGGCTCGTGCATGTTGACTGGCAAGGAGGACATGCGAGGGAAGGTTGCATAGGAAGGAGATACGTAAGAGGGGGAGGGAGAAGCAAAGCATGAGGGGTAACCCAGATGAGGGGGGGGGGGCAACAAAGCAACGTTCAAATGAGAATGGCATGGATAGTTTAGTGGGAGGAGCCTTGCTCAGTTCTGGTGTCCTGCTGCTGCCCGTAGCTACGCCAAGTCACTCACACAGCAAGAGCGGGAGGAGGAGCGATCACTAGCGACGCTGGCTCTTGCGTCCACCTCACGTCTCAACTATCCTTCCTAGTAAAAGAAGCGGCACAAGCAGGTGCTGTTGCTGCAACTATTTATTAACACGGTAGGTAGGCTCCTGCTCAAGTCATTCGGTGCTACTGCACCACTCAGTGCTGAACTCCGAAACGGGCTGCCGCCCACCACCAATCAAATCCGGATAATTGATCCGACTCCCCAAATATTTTGGTGTAATTGAATCATTTGTCATTAATATCTCGTGAAACCATCATTTGAAAATTTATTTGATTTTTCAGTAATCCGTGAATCACTTGCCATATTCTAGATGGCATTATTCGCAGCCGCAATCTACTCGAAGAAACAATTTCGTTTGTGCAACGGCAACGAGCTCACACAATAATGGATGCAAGGCAACGAACTCACTATTAATCATCAGGGTGCTCATTGCATGATAAAGCATCGGTGGCAGCGCGTGAGAGGTGCTGCAAGAAGCTACCGCTGGCAGGCAAGCATGCGGCAGCAGCGAGTGTCCGGCAGCAGACTGCTGCTGAGGTAACAATAGTTAGCGGAGGCGCTTCAGTCATTGCCAGCGGAGCACTGGTGCCGGCAGGCTGAGTTCGGAGAGCGCTCGTGCCGCTGTCCTCGACTGACCACATTATTTTTGTCGCACTTCACCATCATCATCGTACTATACTTATTCTTTGACGTGACAAGATTCTATTTGCACGGACGACGAGGTCCTGGAAAACCGACTCGTTGATATCGTTGCAAACGCGCTCGACCCAGACAGGACGTGCCTGACTCATGTTGAGGCGTCCTAATCACGTGCTCTTCTGCAGTCTTCCTGTGCGTGTCGCGATCTTTTGCCTCCCGTGAGTGGTGAAGTTCACAAGGTGATTTCCATGAACAGCTCTTGTGTGTTCCATTAACAATGAACAGAACTTCGCAAGTGCACGACTAAGTACGAGTGTACCTATCTGATTCCGTCACTACGAAAGTAGAACCGCTTGTGTTGGACGACTTATGTGACATTCAAGTTGTGACTAAAGCTGGCGCGTGCGTCCAAATACACTTCTGAAGTTCTGACTTGAGTGACAATAACCTGGTGATAGTGCCGTAGTGTGGTTCTTGAAGCACCGGATTCTTGGAGACGTTTCTCTTCTAGTAATATTCAAGTTCAACTACGTATGTATTTTAACCTCAATGCTTTTCAAGGATGCAAATTTTTAGTGTTTTTCCGTGAATTGGAGTATTAATTGTACAGTTTACCATGTCTTGATTTGAAATTTGAATGTCTATCTACTCCCAATTTTTGCCATTATGTAGATAATTGACTTGTACTAATGCTGTAATTGAGGTGATTTGAATTTTAATGATGATTAAAGTTTCAGTATGAATGGGCCACACAATTGAAAGTTCATAAAAATCCACGGCTTACACTAGAAGAATTACAGTTATTCATGTTATATACATTGTATCAGCCTAGTCTTGGATATTTGTCATTTCATTATCATAACAAAATAATTTCAGCTCAAAATATAATCTTTCTGACCTGATTTCGCGCTCGTATCTTACAATGCAGGTTTTATGACATATTGATTAACAGTTGGCACATGACGTAAACATTTCTGCTTACAAATACGTTTCTGTTGAATATCTAATCTCATAGTCATTTTACTGAGTACGAGTAGTAATAAATATGATTTACTTCCGCGCTGGCGATGTCCTCAGAACGAGCAGGCATCTCAACATGCGGCAGCAGTTAACCTTCAAAGAAGCATTACGCGACGACTGCAGCGAACTCTTGTCTTGCACCGCGTGACTCTTGTTATGTTCTTGCTTACGTTGCTTACGATGCCTGCGCGCTCGCGGTAAACAATGTCAGCATCATTTATTCATGCGCCAAAATAGGCAAGCCGTTACCTAGCCTTCCAAGTGACAGGTTTTTTCGAGAATATAAATTATTTTGAAAGTTTTTTCATTCTACAATACGATTGTTTCACGGCAATCGATGATTGTCAGGCGAATTGCTTACTTTTATATTAATTTTTTTTTTTGCAAGTCATCTCGTGTGGGTTGATTCTTCTCATGGGTATTGAATGTTTTGAACTGTTGGTGGACCAAGTTTATGTCACTTTCAAAATGAATAATTTGATAATGATGTCACTAGGACTGCCAGCATGTTTTTTTCACGGTAATCTATGCAATATCAATAACGTAACCAAGTTCATTCCAGTGTCGGGATGCTGAAATAATATGTAATATTATTCAGACCCTTTCACTTTGAAGCTGCCAAGTAAGTCTGATGCTGTTTCTCAGTAGATCGTAAAAAATTTGGACTATACGTTTTCAAACTAGTGCACACTGCACATGCCCATGCAGTGGTCGTTTTGAAAGGCGTAAGATGCTTCGTTCAGGTGTTTTTTCTTCATAAATCGATCTCGATGCAATTAGATGACGAATCATCCTGCGCGTAATGATGCATGGTTCGTATGATGCACTCAAGCACATTCGTTTCCTTTATTCTTGCCTCTTAACCAATGTTCATGACTCAGCGACTTCCTTAAACTTGTCTATACTTATATTAATTTACGAGATGACCTGCCATGATTGTATGTTCAAATCATTTCCTGCCTCGGTCGTAGCTCGTTCAAGACTTGCGCATGACTGCGCTTAACCGAACTTTAGAGATGTCTTGGGAGATGGATGCTTAGTCAGTGAAGACTAACATTGTAAGTGTTTGAATCGCTGATCGGGGACGCTTTCTTATACCTATATTGAATCGATTTCTGTCATGCAATACTGCATTTTCAAGGTTTTATTTACACTTTTTTCCTGGTTCAGGGACTAAAAATTAGATCTGTTCTCTGAAGAAATATAGGATTACGAAGTAAACTCCAGGAAACAATCTTGTATGTAAAATTTTTTATCATAATTATCTGAGATGCTCATGTACATTTGTAGAATCTACGTTTGTGTACTTTTTTATACATTATTCTTATCGTTCTGTCAACAATTCCTTCTCTGATGGTCCTATTTAATAACCAGAAGATGAAAAGATTTTATTTTGATGTTTGGATATCATTTGTAACGTAATGATCGGCAAAGGCCGTTGATTATTTTGAGTTCTTTTCTTTGGACTTTGTAAATTTAAAACACGTTTTACAGTATAATATTCTCGAAGTAACATGATGATACGTATACACATTATTCAAAATACAATAAGGCAATTCTTAATGACATCACGAATAACTTGTACCATTAAATTTTTCTTGTAATATCTTCTAAAATTAACTTCAGCAATTCTGTCGAGAATAAATCGAAATAAATCACGATATTCATCCGTGTATGGCTGTTGCAGAGCCAAGGACCGAGAAAGAAATAGAGCTTGACCGGTCAAGCCATTCATTAATCCTGACAATATCAAGCAAGACGAACAACTGAGCGCAACTGAATATAAAAGCAAGCTGATAAACTCCCCTATGAGCGATGCGCTGACCAAGATGCCCTTTTTTATGGCCATTTAGCTCGTAGGCCTATAGAGATGCAAATGGGGCTCGTGGCAACGCATAACTCGCGTACTTCTCTTCAGCTACCGAGCATTAGGTCTCTATTAGTCAGTCGCTAACCCTTCCCAGATTTATGAACTGAAATGAATAATTCATTTGTTTTTTCCCCTCTTTGATTTCATGCTGCAGGTTGTACGGGAAATTTGATGCACCTAGTATCTAACCAACCAAATTAGAAAACCCAGTGAAGACAACGACATCTTATTAAGACTGAAAGTCATTCGTCTCGAAGGTAAATATTTCGGATATTTTTTTTCATTGTCTCTGCATGAAGTCTTTTCTCTCATTCCATTGCCCAATTTTCTTTGACCAATTGTTTTTTGCATAATAGGTATTGCACAATTTATTTATTTATTCTAATGCTACAATGTATAATACCAGCTCGCCTCTTTCATTGATTTTTAGCTGTCGAAATTTAACGTTGTCCAATGTTTTGTTAGGTTAATTGTTGTCTTGGATTTAAATTGTTTAGAAACGCAAGTTACTTACCATGTTTATTTATTGAACTCATATTATCACTGCAATGAACCCGTGTAAAAATTTTCGTTTACAGATTAAAAGTATTAAGTTTTGTCGAAGGGAATCTTGATCTGTATAAATCTCATTAATATTGAAGTAATAGAAATTAGTGATGTGGTTTTTACCCTCAATCTATGAAAGCAAAATACATTTAGGCAATACATTTTAATAAAGGCGTGCGAGCTTCAGCTTAATTCAAGTTAATTTGTATTCAAAATACTGCTGTAATTCTTGATCGGATTTATTATTCTGGATTTATATAAGCATTTGAGGCCAAATTCAGACTGTACATATTTGTCGAGCTAACGCCAGTTTCCTAAGACCAAGTCGCTTGAAGAATATATTTTTTTTCAAACGTTGGAGCACTTTATCTTTCATAGGAGAAAAGTTTAGGGCATGGCTCCAATTAATGGACTCGTTACTTGAGAAATAACAAACCGAGGCCTATTTTGTGCCCTTGTATTGGCCTGAAATGATTGAAGCCATTAAACCATTTAGTTTTAGAGGCTATAGTAAATACGTGCTAATTGTTTTAGGGTCGCGCCTAAACCGAGAGAGTGCCCACGAATTCAGCTTACTAAATAAGTAGGCTCAAAGGGAGACGTACGTTATTTTGAACATCATTATCGAGTTTATTAATGCTGATAGTTTCATTTACGTCGCTTTATCCATAAGTTTCTTCTATTTATTTATTTTCAAAACTAACTGGCGAGTAATTATCGACAGAAATTATTTGGATCAGAATAAACTATATGACAGTATTTATAACCTCGTTCTACTGTGAAAAGCTTACAAAAATCCACGGTGTCGATCGTGGCCATTTCACTGCATTTTTCCAGCAGGTGATTTACATAATGCGATTATCTGAAGAATAATAGCTTGAGTTCTTTGCTAGTCTGATAACCTTACACATTCACGAACCAAAAATTGTGTGACACCTGAATTTCACAACACTCGTTTACGAGGACTGTCAATGTTCGGCTTCATACTTCTTCCAACCTTATCATGTTAATGCTTCGAACAGTTTAAATCATTAGTCTAGAACATTTTGATGTACTAAGAGTTTAAACCAACACGTGGACTCGTTATTGTGAGTTCGTGTATATGGGGAATTTTTTTTTCTTTTTTGCTTTCTTTATTGATAGTTAGCTGTGGGTATGATGATAATGATGTCCTTATTTTCCCCCTTTATTTTGATCGTTTCAGAGTTCCAGTGATTGCAATATTATAAATCTTACTCAATGTATTTTACGATATTTTAAAAGAATTTATTTAGATAAATTAAAAATGTGCAATAAAAAGTAAACTTGGAAAAATTTATATTTTTCAGGCCCTAACTGTGAGTTTGAAGACGAGTCTATAACTTTCATAGCAATTATCACATTCTACCTTATTCTTCTCCTACAGGAGTCCTTCTCTGGTCGGTCTTTACCAGGATTGATTTCTGCATCTCCAGAAGCGGGTGAGTTTTTCAAAGTCTTTAACCTTAATTATTATCAATTTTTTTGCTGGTCTAGGTTTGTTTATTAACACGTTAAGCTCACCTAATAAGTTAAAAATTATTAATTTTCGTGAAATTTATTCATAGGAATAAACAATTTTCGGCTTTTAGTTTTTATTCTTGTGGACGTTGCGACTCGTTGGGAAAATTTTTTAAATCTTTGATAAAATTTCTATTCTTTACCAAAGTGTAAAGAATGTAACTGAATTTGGATTATAACAGAAATTTCAATCTTATATTTATGATAATGAATTGCATGGGTAATGAATTCTGAACCATAATTCGTATCTGTCTCCGAAATCTCAGTTCGGTCCAATCGCCTATTTTGTTTTTCGTCGGAATCATGCGCAGACTGATAATGACGATTCGGCTATATACTTTTCGTGAACCCGGCGCTTCTTTGTTTAGGTGTGAACCTATGAAGGCTCCAGAATAAAAAGTTGGCGTGAGGGCAACTCAGAGCTTGTGTGTGTGGCGTGTCCTTTGTGGCCGTGTCTTTATAGCGCCCTACAAAGATCGCGAGACGCCGCAAAGCTCCCCCAACTGCTCGACCTCTGCCTTGCTTCCTTGATTCCCTGCTTAGTACAAACTTCAGCTGGAGAAACAAAACAGACGACACTGCTTGCGATGCGGGTCGAAAATAAAGGCTCAGTTTTTAAACTTTGGCGTTTTGCATTTTGAACATTTACTTGTACCTAATCGTGGATAAAGCATTGAAGTGGAACTAATAAATCAAAAGCACGTCAAATATGAGAATAAATTATCTTCGACATCACATTTAACTACGGTAAACTCTCAAAGTAATGTGTGATTTTGTTGTTGTAACTGTATTTTAACGCGGGTGATATTTATTTATGCCGTAAGATAGGAGAAGTTTAATTTTGTGTTTGCAATGCGAAGTTTTCAGAACTAACTAGATGATTAAATACACCTTATAGAAATATTTTGATATGTTTGAAATTGATACTCGACTGGTTCACAAAGAAAACTTTGTTTTCTTGTATGGAACACCATAGAGTTGTGGTCGTGTTTAACGCTTGGGATGTTCAGTCATGCGCTGCTGTACATATCATAGCTCCTGACTGTTGTGGTGATGCAGCAGCGAGGGAGTCATCAAGCATATCGGGCACTGCCGCCCAAACCTTCTTAATTGCCCTGACGCAGGCATGCATGGCGACGGTATAACGTACGTACCTTGCCTGTCTTCTCTACGCAGGCCGCTGTGCATGGGGTCTTTGCCCCTGCAATTCTCTCCATTTACATTCCGACTTGTGACAACGTATTCTTCCGTCTAATTGGATAGATTGACATTTCTTTAGGGATTTGAGTATCGAATATTTATTTCAGATGACACAACGATTTGTCCATTGTACTAGTAATAGATAAATATATGTCAAAAAAGGGCAATTTTCATAAACTCTAATATTTTTCTTAAAAGCGAATACAATTGGCCATTAATTTACATAATTGTCATATGAAATCTCTGGTTAATACCATGTCTCACCAGAGCAGACGTTGTCTTACTGTAATATGACTGGTGATTCATTCATATATACAGCAAGATGGCGAGGCCAGAAGTAGAATGTATTGTTGTCGTGGAAGTGCGGGCCTGGTGCCCTTAATGGTTCTAAACAAGCTCCCAGAATTTAGATGAGCTTAAGCATGAGGACGACAAATTGAAAGATTGGTCTATGATAGATGCTTGACGCCATCGCTATGGCTTCATCTTGTCATATTGCAGTCAATGCGCGAACTCTGTAGCATCGTTTCGTCCAAAATAAGATGTTCTAGTGAACATACAAGGTGCGAGTATTAGTTTCAACCGAGCTAGTATCGAAGACTTGAATCTGCGATTTTAGGTGCTTTTAAAATGTCCAGTGTTGTATCATGGGTTTTCAGAATTTTTTTTAAGAAGAGTGCAAATCAACGAGCGTCTTGTTCAGTGATTAAAAAAATTTTTTTTTTGTTCACTTGATTTAAGTCGCATATTCATCATTCATTTTGACGCACTCAAATAAAAAGCATGTTCGGACTTTCAATTCGTCGATTCTATGAATATTATGACTAATTTTCACTGTACCGATGGTATTGGATAATGCAAAAAATAGTTAAAAATCGTTGACGAATCGCTTTTATTATTATTTCATTATTGTTGATGCTCTAAGTGGTAATGCTTATTTTAAGCGGCTGTGCTACGACGAATGTATAAGAGAAGATAAATGAAATAGTTAAAGAATTACTAATCAGGGCGTTCATCAAAGTTGAGTGTTAAGATCTTGATTGGCAGGATTAAAAAATTTAACAGCTCATACTTTATTTCATGCGAGAAGGGCAAAGATGAATGCTACAAAACGTGTAATTAATTTTTTTTCTGGCCGCTCTGCCTCGCTAGCATATGGAACAGCCACACAGTACTTAGAGAAGACTATCTTCCCTAAATTTAATATTCTTAAACTTTTACTGGTTCGCAAAGATACTTATCATTTATCATTAAATACATAAATTACTTACCCGCCAATTGTGTTTCCGCTCATGCAGTTTGAAATTTTTCTATTCATCTCATTTGCTTCATCTTATTTGGCTGCAATCAAAACATGTCAGGAAACGGACCATCTCAGGCGGTTCTCACAGTGCTCTCAAGTACGCGAGATGAAACTCAACAAGTTTCAAATTATCCTTCGCAGGTGTTTCCGACGCTCGCCAAGCCATGCGTTCACGCGCAATTAGCAAGAAGTTTTATCTTCATTCCAGAATGCCAAGCATGCTGAGGCTCCTGTGTTATTTGATCGTCTAGCGTATTTCCTGCGAGTTCTTTCGTAAATTTCCTGGACAATGTGGTCATCAGCAGTTGGATTAATGACGCGGCCTGACATAAATCATGAGTTGTTTAATTAGAGTGTTTTAATTAGTGAACGCTGTTTTACTATTTTATCCCTATTTGTCTGTACCTATTTCCAAATAGGTCATTACATTAAACAATAAATAATAACTCTATGCTCAGTATTTAAAATTTTCTCTTTCTAATTTTTTTCGAACTAATTTTATGCTTTCCATTCTCGTAAAATGCCGAAGCGGACATGGTTGATATACTCGTATTTTAGTAAATATAATCGGCCTCGAAGATATCTTCCAGGCTTTTCGTACTTGCTTGTTGTTTTTAACGAACGGATCGTAAAGTTCCGGACCTCTTCTTTCTAAAAAATTCAACGCAATAATTTGAGGAGAATGTAAGGGAATAAAAGACGCCAGCTAGCGACGTCTCTCATAAACGTGTTACTTGTACTTTTATAGGACCTGGGTGCGTAATTTTCGTGGTAGGAACAGCATGTACGCAATCCGCTGCAACGTCTTAAATGGAATCAAAAACCTCGTAAAAAGGAAAAATTTGCAGCAGTTATGTGTCGGGGGATGAGCAGTTTGAAGCAACCAATTGTCGAGCACGTTTCTCAAACGAACTTTCCATTGTATAGAATTTAGATGCCGATTTCATAGTTGTCTTGCAGATCGTAACGTGCGCTTTCATTTAGTTAGTAAAGGTCTCCTGCAATTCAGTCGTTATTGTGACTGATTTAAGAGAAAAATTCATGATATATGTAATTTTTACATGTTTAAACGAACCTCAAGATAACCATGAATGAAATGTTGAATGAAAGTGCCTAATAACAGGAGAACTTATGTTTCGGTAAGAAAACTAAAGTTATTGCTGCCTCGAGGTTGCTGTCGCAATGTAGAGATGTTGACATTTTCAAGAGGATCTTTCATGTTTGGTCGTCGTGCTGGCATGTAGCTTGGCCTCTACACTCTCATGATACCGACCCTAATAACAGAGACGGCTGATCACATTACTATTGGTGGTCTGGGGGCCTGTGCTGCAATTCGCCTCCTGAAGGCCACGCCTGCTCGTACCTATATTATCGCCACACTATTTCCTTGTGGCAGCGTATGTTCGCAGCGCTCACATGCTCCAGCCAAGTCCATCTGTTTCACCTGGAAGACACACTGTGCCTCTTGTGCCATCATTAAAGCCTTACTACTTCTTTGGAAGAGGCCGCCTTGAGTCTTTCAATGTCAGTCCTGGAAGGTGATCTGGTGCTCTTGCTGACTGATGATTACCTGGAACAAACTTCGTGAGGCGCGCACATGGTCTCATCTCGGCATGGCGAAGAGCAAATGACTGCACTTGGCGCGCCATAAAGTCAAGCGCTTCGTCTTATTTAAATACAGGCCTTAGAGGAAGAAAGAAAATGGCTTGGTGTATAGGCTCCAGCCACAGAGTAGGCCAATACTGTACGCATAAAGCTCATTCCAGGAGTTAGTCTCTGTTCCCTAATTGTTTGCGCAGCTACTTCTATTACTTTCTTATTCGCTTGAGCATACATTGGTTCATTCTTTCGCCAAGTGCTGAGTGAAATGATTCGAGCTGCTGTAACTGAGAATATAGTCTTGCTCCACAGAGAAGGTGCGTCAGAGAAAACTTGCTTGGATTTTGTGAACTAATTGTTACGATGCGAAGTTATGTTTTACTGTTAAATCCCTCATATTGAAAGTATACTTGTTGCTTTTCCGTTGTAAAAGTTAGTTTGGGGTTCCATCATCTTTTCTGACAGAACGAAATTCAGAACGAAGACAAAACTTTTGCCACGAACGCTGTGACACCAGGGAAATTTTTTCTTGAATATCATTGATGTGGAAGCGGATTGTCACGGTTGTACTGGGGCAAAATATGAGCCTAATCAATGACCTCTTGCGGCATGGGCGAGACTCTTATAGATGGGAGCGGTTACCATGTCAGGGAAGCCATTTCTCCTGCCCAGGATGCCATTAGGTGTGATACAAAGCTAATTTGGCTATTGATTTAGGATTAGAGATCCGGTCGTCAAAAGTGACCCTCGAACTCGCTCTTAGATTTCTTTTCAAGCCCATTCATTAGCGACTGCACAGAGGAAGACATCAATTTCTTG